GAGTGTGTTCATTAACAGCATCCTTCTAGGTGCCCACAGGAGCTCTCCCTTCCCAGGCACTCAGGAAAGGGCAGCGATTCCAACCCCACTCTCTGCATTTTCCCCTCTCTCAGGTGACCCAGGTGTCCCAGCAGAGGTGACAGGGACCGAGCTCTGACAGCTCTGGATTGGGAATTCACCCCTCAATTTATGATTTTTGCTGTGGCAGTGCCTGCAGGCCCCAGGGATGGAGGGGTCACAGTGACAAACCTGAAATTGTCCCTGCTTTGAACCCACACAGGGAGGGGAAAGGGAAGCAAACCCAGCTGAGATCCCTGAAATGTCCCATCTGAGCTGCTCCTGAACCCCAAAAGGCAGCAATCCCTGCAAACAGCAGCTCAAACACCCCCCTCTGAACACCTCCCAAGTTATTTCTGCCCCCAGCACCCTGGAGGTGGCAGAGATGGCAGAAAATGAGAAAAAAAGTCACAATCAAAGATGGAATTGTTGGTGCTGGCAGTGGGATTGAGTGCCTGGAGCATCCTCCTGCTTCCTGAGATTCATTTTGTAGGTCCTGCCTCCACTTGGAGCATCCTCCTGCTCCCTGAGCTGCATCCTTGCTGTCCTGCCTCCACCTGGAGCATCCTCCTGCTTCCTGAGCTGCAATCCCACACCCCTGGAGCATCCTCCTGCTTCCTGAGCTGCATCCTCACAGTCCTGCCTCCTCCTGGAGCATCCTCCTTTATCCTGCGCTGCATTTTGTAGGTCCTGCCTCCCCCTGGAGCATCCTCCTGCTCTCTGAGCTGCATTTTGTAGGTCCTGCCTCCACTTGGAGCATCCTCCTGCTCCCTGAGCTGCATTCTTGCAGTCCTGCCTGGCCCTGGAGCATCCTCCTGCTTCCTGAGCTGCAACCCCACACCCCTGGAGCATCCTCCTGCTCCCTGAGCTACATCCTCACAGTCCTCTCTCCACCTGGAGCATCCTCCTGCTCCCTGAGCTGCATTTTGTAGGTCCTGCCTCCCCCTGGAGCATCCTCCTGCTCCCTGAGCTACATCCTCACAGTCCTCTCTCCACCTGGAGCATCCTCCTGCTCCCTGAGCTGCATCCCTGCACCCCTGGAGCTGCACTCTGCACCCAGAGCTCCTGCTCAGGTGTGGGAAGGAACACCCAGATTCCCGGCAGGGATCAGGAATTGATGTGGGCAATTCCCAGTGGGGAATGAGGCTGGGAAAATCCTGTGCTGGCTCAGAGCTCATCCCTAAAAGAGCAGGGAGAGGCAGGAGGAAAGGGAAGGATCTGAGGCTGGGGTTGGAAGGAGCTGTGTGGAGGGAGGGAGGTGAAGGACGAGCAGACAGATGAGAGGTGGCAGCAGCGGCAGCAGCACAGACGAACCCCAGCCCTCTGCCAGGGCTTCCCGTGCTGCTGCCTGCCTCCAAAATCATCCCCCAGCAGTTTCCAGTTTCCCTTCCAGCCAGACAAGAGATGGGAGCCAGAGATTGGGAGGCACTGAGCAAACAAGCAGCAGATGAGCAGCACTGGCTGCGGGCAGAACGCCGCTGCCTTGGAAGGGAGGCCGGGCTGGGAGATTGGGAGAGGGCAAAAGATGCTGGGGCTGATTACAGAGCACTCTGCAGAGTTAATTGTTCACCAGATTGGGATCTGGGCCACCTCCATCAACAGGCTGCTTCCTGCCGTCGGCTTTCCTGGACAAACAGCAGGAGCCAGTGGATTTAGAGGGGAGCAAAGCCAGCAGGGCAAAGCTCTGCCTGCACAGGGTTCACTGCTGAACCCCACCAGAGCCCTCTCATCGCTCCCCTGCCTGCACGAGGCAAACCCAGCCCAGCTGAGCTCAGCTTTTGGGGCGTCAGCACATGAATTACACAGAGCAGAACTCGCTCCAGCCTCGGGATCTCCTCTGAGCTGAGCCAAGCTCCCCTGTCCTGCTGCCTCCATTTCCCTGAGGATGCAAGGAGAATCTGGGAGGCTCCTCCTGAGCCTAAGCCCTTTGGGAAACTCTTACTCCTCTTGGACATGACTGCAAACAAACAGATCCCAGCTCTTCTGGAGATTCTCAGCCCTCCTGGCCCAAGCCTCAGCACTGTGGAAGCCAGAGGAATGTCCCAGGGTTTACAGGCATTGACCAAACATTCATTTCTGCCCAAAAGGCCAGACCAAGGGGATGATGGTCTCAGTGAAAACTGCAACGTGGATATTTTAATGCACATGGTGAGTGGACACCCAGGGTTCTGCCTGACCAGGACAGGGAGAACTGAAGGATCCTCATTTGGGATCTGGGAGATGAAAACTCAGCTGAGCTCCCTGCAGCACCCTGAGCCATTTTGCCTCTGTGTTTTATTTTTACCCCTGTGCAAAATGCAGCTGCTCTCATTGAGTGTGAGCAAGGGAAGGCAAAAGCTGTCCCCTGCAGCACCCTCTGCACCCCAGCCTGTCCCCAGGGCACAAGGGACACTGACTGTCTGTCACACACACCTTTTATGAAAAATCCTTTCTTTAAAATTTTTCCTCCTGAGAAGCTGAGAAGCCTCAAGAAAAAAACATTGATTATCTGCTGCTGTGGAATGCAACAGGTAGATCTTTGATTAGCCCATGTTGGTTGTTTCTAATTAATAGCCAATCACAACCCAACTGTCTTGGACAGAGAGCCAAGCCACAAACCTTTGTTGTCGTTCTTTCCTTTTCTATTCTTAGCTAGCCTTCTGATGAAATCCTTTCTTCTATTCTTTTAGTATAGTTTTAATATAATATATATCATAAATATATAAATATTTATATATAACATATATCACAAATATATATCATAAAATTATAAATCAAACCTTCTGAAACATGGAGTCAGATGCTCGTCTCTTCCCTCAGCCTGAGACCCCTGTGAACACGGTCACAACTGTCCCCTGCAGCACCCCCTGGACCCCAGCCTGTCCCCAGGGCACAAGGGACACTGGCAAGGAATGCACACCAGAGGCAGCAGCTCAAGATTTAAAGCAGCTCGTTTGGAAGGCAATAAAAAGCGGCCAGCTGCACTTGAGCCACCTGTAGCCAGCAACGTGTGACACCATCCCTCCCCTCTGTCACCCTGTCACCAGCACAGCCTCTCTGAAGGGCCCATTCAGGGCCCCACAAAGAGCTGCCTCAGTGAAAGGGAGATGGAGATGAGGATCCAGCGCTTCCCATCCCTGCCAGCATCCCAGGGCTCTGCAGAGCTCGGGGAGCAAAGCCCTGGGAGCAAAGCAAGGTCAGGAGCTGCCAGATGGGGGGACTCGGACGTGGGGACAAGGCGGTGACGCGGCCAAGGCCAGGCAGAATCCCTGGCAAGGCCATGGACACAGGGAGATCTCCAGAGCCCTGATTAGCTGGAATTTTTTCTCTCTTTCTCTCCATCCCAGCAGGATGAGAGAGGAGGAACTCCCAGGATTTCTGGCGAGGTTGTTCCACTACTCATTTCTGAGCTGCTCCCATTTGGACGTGGTGCTGATATTTTCCAGCGTGAGTGAGTAAGCCTGGGAACTTGGGAACAAATCTGTGAGCCCTGCCTGGAGCACGGACACCAAAACTTGCTCAGAAATGTTCTGGTGTCAGAGAAAGCCTGAAAATCAGCACACGCTGAGCTGGGTGCCTCACACACTGAGGAAATTCCATGGATGGGGTGAGCTGGGTGCTCTCCTATTCCTGCCTCTTCCTTCTGGGACTCTTGGACGTCCCCTCCCACCTTTTTTTAGGGAGGAAAGGATTCTCCACACCACAAATGCACTGAGATCTCTGTGTGTGCCTGCTGACACCGTGTCCATTACCCAATGGCCAGATTCCTGGAGGGAATCTCTTCAGGACCATGGGAACTGCTTTTCCCGACCTCTCCCCTGCCCTGTCACAGCCTGGTGAGGCTGGAGAGCAGGACTCTGCTTGCACTGACCACATCTCAGCCCCACGTGCTGGCACATCCCAGATCCACACCCCAAACCTGCCCCACACCACCGAGGAGAAGGGAATTAATTAAAATTAATCCCAGCTCCTTGCAGGGCCCTGTTTGGCGGCTCCTGCCCTTCCACAAACCTCATCCAGAGGCTCCAGCTTTCTGCCCGATGCTCGTTCAAAGCTTTTCCCCCTTCAGGCACCATCTCCAAGCCCAGAACACATCACATCTCGATGCACAGCACAAAACCCAGCGCCAGCAGCCCCAGGCCTGACCCTGATTCTTTCAGAGCTGATGCCACCATTGTGCCAACACGCTCAGCCCAGGTTGTTTTCACCGAGAGATGAGGCTGTTAAAGCTTTTCATGCTGCCCTGGCACGGAGGGCAGCTCTCAAGGGGCTGTCTGGGGACATAGAGGGTGGCACATTCTGGGGCACAGCCCCGGGAACTGTCACAGCAACAGGAGAGATGCAGCTGATGGTGACAGCCGCCTAAAACCGCAGCGCCAGGGGAATGCCGAGCTGCCAGCCCGGGGCAGGGCTCCCTCCCACCCCACAGACCCTGGGGGTCACTTCCACTCTCAAAGGGCCCCCCCAGGCCCCTCACAGCGCGCCCACCCAGGGATGCCCAGCACAATCCATAGCCTGGAACAGATTTAGGGCCGAACACGCGCAGGGATTCCCTCACCGGGGAGCACCGGGGTACAAATCCGAGCTGAGCCCTCCCTCTCCCTCTCCGTGCCTGCAACTCCAGCTCTCCCCTCCCCTCGGGACTTGGGACTCCTGTCCCAGCCCCAAAGGCAGCGGCGGTGGCCCCCGGAGGAGCAGGGTCCCCGGAGGGGCTGGGGGGACGAGCAGGGTCCCCAGAGGGGCGAGCAAGGTCCCCGGTGGGGCTGGAGGGGCGAACAGGACCCCCAGAGGGTCTGGAGGGACTGGCATGGCTCCCGGAGGGGCTGAGGGGCGAGCAGGGTCCCTGGAGGGGCTGGGGAAGCGCTCAGGGCTCCCGGAGGGTCTGGGGGGCCGAGCAGGGCTCCCGGAGGCGCTCGGGGGCGATCAGGGTCCCCGGCCCGCGGCGGGGTGACCGCGGCACTCACCGGGCGCCGAGCCGGTCGCTCTCCCTCCCTCCTGCCGTGTCCCTTCCTCCTTCCTGCAGAGGGGCAGAGCAGGGGCGGTGCTGCGGGAGCCGCGGGGCCGCTCCGGGAACGGGGCCGGGCTGCGAGAGGAGCGGGGCCGGCACCGGAGAGCGGCTGGAGCGGCACCGGAGCGGGGCGGATGCTGGAGGCGGTACCGGAGCAGGAGAGGCTTGGAGCGGTCCGGGAGAGCTGGAGAGGTGCCGGTGCCGGAGCAGGAAAAGGGTTGGAGCGGTCCCGGTGCCGGTGGAATGGGAGCGGTGCCGGTGCCGGGGAGTCGGAGCGGTGCCGGGGGAACGGGAGCGGTGCCGGTGCCGGGGGAATTGGAGCGGAGCCTGTGCCGGTATCGAGCAGGGCGAGTGGGAGCGGTGCCGGTGCTGGTGCCGGAGCAGGAAAAGGGTTGGAGGGTCCCGGTGCCGGTGGAGGGGGAATTGGGAGCGGTGCCGGTGCCGGTAGCGGAGCCCGGGCAGTCGGAGCGCAGCCGGCGCCGGTACCGGGGTAGTCGGAGCGGAGTCGGTGCCGGTGCCAGGGGAATCAAAGCGGCGCCGGTGCCGGTAGCGGAGCCCGAGCAGTCGGAGCGGTGCCGGTGCCAGGGGAATTGGAGCGGTGCCGGTGCCGGTACCGGGGCAGTCGGAGCCGTGCCCGTGCCGGGGGAATTGGAGCGGTGCCCGTGCCGGGGTAATTGGAGCGGTGCCGGTGCCGGTACTGGGCAGTCGGAGCGGTGCCGGTGCCGGTGCCGGGGGAATGGGAGCGGTGCCGGTGCCGGTACCGGGCGGTCGGGGCGCGGTGCGGGACCCGGCGCGGTGCGGGAGCGCTGCCGGCGCTCGGTTCCGTGCGGCGCTGGCTCCTCCCCGCCGCAGCCCCGGGAGCAGGAGCCCGCTCGGCCCCGCCGGCCCGGGCAGGAGCCGCGCACCGAGAGCACAAACGCACAAACACACACACAGCGATCCCCGCCTCGCTCTCCGGTCCAGCTCCCTCCTGCGGCTCCTCCCGAGACACCGGCACCGTGCGGGTTTCAGCCTCTCCGGGTTGTGGATTTAGCAGCGGCTCCCCCACCCATTCCAGCTCCTTGTTGTCGTATATTTAGTCAAACATTCTGGGTTGGCCAAAAATAGAGCAGCCGTGGAAATAAATCAGGCTGACTGGAGGTGCCAACATCGTCTGCCTGAGAGTAATTAATTTCTTATATCCTCGGCTATATTAATCCTCGCCTTCCCTGCACACGCCGCCCTGTCTGTCAGCAGAGTTGTTGTGATTAGCGCCGAGATCTGGGGGATGTGCGGGAGTGGGGAAGGGCAGGGGGAAACTGAGGCAGGGAAGGCACAAAATCCATCTCCACAGAGCGTGAGGAGGGGAAACACAGGGCACAGCAAGGCTGGTGAGGAGGATGGAAGGGGATGCAAGTTCTGCAGGGGAAAAATCCAACATTTAGGGTCTTCTTTCCAGACGTGGATATCCCACAAAAAAAAAAAAAAAAAAAAAAGCACAAACAAAAACAAAAACCAAAAAACAAACAAACAAAAAAACCCACAAAAAACCCCCACCAAAAAACACCAAAAGAACAAAACAAACCCAACAAAAAAAAGGTTCCAGGAGACACAAATTTGGGCTTCCGCAGTTCTGCTGCTGCCAGAACTCCTTTTCCCCGTGTTCTGTCCGAATGTGGGAGTCTCGCTGGATTTGCTGACTCTCATTTCTTATCTCAGAAGCACCAGGCTGGCTGGGGACACCTCGGGGAGCGGGGCAGTGCTTCCCCGATGGCGCAGCAGGAGCATCAAATCCGAGCCCCCATGGAGGGAAGGGATGTTCTAGAAGGATCCATCTGTCACCTCAGCCTGTCCCAGGGCAGCACCCCTGAGGCCCTCGCGGGGTGAAACCTTCAGCAGCAGCTCTTCAGTGGGAGCAGGAGCTGAACCAGCCCCTCTAGGAGCGTGTGGGGGGCTCAGAACTGAGGCACGGTGACGCAGCGGGGACGTGGTGGCTTTGCAGCAGGGGTGAGAGGCCGTCCTGGGTGGCACAGGGTGGGCAGCTCGTCTGTCACCCGTGTCTGATGGGGATTGGCACCCTGGGCTGTGCAGGGCTCGGGGAGGAGCAGCAAAGTGGGGTCAGGGGGGATGTGGGTGTGGGGTGTGATGCAGGGTGTGACATCCAGGCTGTGTGTGACATCCAGGCTCTGTGTGACATCCAGGGCTACGTGTGACACCCAGGGCTATGTGTGACAACCAGGGCTACGTGTGACAACCAGGGCTCTGTGTGACACCCAGGGTTATGTGTGACACCCAGGGTTATGTGTGACATCCAGGCTGTGTGTGACATCCAGGCTGTGTGTGACACCCAGGGTTATGTGTGACACCCAAGGCTGTGTGTGACACCCAGGGCTGTGTGTGACACCCAGGGTTATGTGTGACACCTAGGGCTACGTGTGACAACCAGGGTTATGTGTGACATGCAGGGTTGTGTGTGACATGCAGGATTGTGTGTGACATGCACAGTTATGGTGTGACACCCAGGGCTGTGTGTGACACCCAGGGTTATGTGTGACACCCAGGGCTGTGTGTGACACCCAGGGTTATATGTGACATCCAAGGCTATGGTGTGACACCCAGGGTTATATGTGACATCCAAGGCTATGGTGTGACACCCAGGGCTGTGTGTGACACCCAGGGTTATGTGTGACACCCAGGGCTGTGTGTGACACCCAGGGTTATATGTGACATCCAAGGCTATGGTGTGACACCCAGGGTTATATGTGACATCCAAGGCTATGGTGTGCCACCCATGGCTCTGTGTGACACCCAGGGCTGTGTGTGACAACCATGGCTCTGTGTGACACCCAGGCTGGCTCTGTGGCCGCTGCCCTCCCGTCACCCCTGGTCAATGAGTAGCCGGTCATGTGTGTGCCCACTCACTGCCCTGTGAGTGCCCACCCCGCTCCCTTCCTGTGCACCAATGGGGGCACTTTGGGGAGGCTTTCCCACATCCCAGTCTCTGCCATGGCTCTGACTTCCACATTCCCCGTTTTCCTCCGTTTAGAGGGGAGATGTCACCTTGGGGGAGATGTCTCAGGCACTTGTGGGTCATTCCCAACAACTGCTGCCACCCCTCCCATGCCACAGTTCCGGTGCCTTAAATCCAGTTTGAAACTGAAAGGAAAAGAGATTCTCAGGAAAAGAGATTCCCAGGAAAAGAGATTGCCAGGAAAAGAAATTCCCAGGAAAAGAGATTCTCAGGAAAAGAGATTCCCAGGAAAAGAGATTCACAGGACAAGAGATTCCCAGGAAAAGAGATTGCCAGGAAAAGAGATTGCCAGGAAAAGAGATTCACAATAAAAGAGATTCCCAGAAAAAGAGATTCCCAGGAAAAGAGATTCTCAGGAAAGGAGATTCTCAGGGAAAAGAGATTCCCAGGAAATGAGATTCCCAGGAAAAGAGATTCACAGGAAACAAAATTGCCAGGAAATGAGATTGCCAGGAAAAGAAATTCCCAGGAAAAGAGATTCACAGGGAAAAGAGATTCTCAGGAAAAGAGATTCCCAGGAAAAGAGATTCTCAGGGAAAGAAATTCCCAGGAAAAGAGATTCACAGGAAACAAAATTTCCAGGAAATGAGATTGCCAGGAAAAGAAATTCCCAGGAAAAGAGATTCACAGGGAAAAGAGATTGCCAGGAAAAGAGATTCACAATAAAAGAGATTCCCAGGAAAAGAGATCCACAGGAAAAGAGATTCTCAGGAAAAGAGATTCCCAGGAAAAGAAATTCTCAGGGAAAGAGATTGCCAGGAAAAGAGATTCTCAGGGAAAGAGATTCACAGGAAAAAAAATTGCCAGGAAATGAGATTGCCAGGAAAAGAAATTCCCAGGAGAAGAGATTCTCAGGAAAAGAGATCCACAGGAAAAGAGATTGCCAGGAAAAGACATTTCCAGGAAAAGAGATTGCCAGGAAAAGAGATTCTCAGGGAAAGAGATTCTCAGGAAAAGAAATTCCCAGGAAAAGAGATTCACAGGAAAAGAGATTCACAGGAAACAAAATTGCCAGGAAATGAGATTGCCAGGAAAAGAAATTCCCAGGAGAAGAGATTCCCAGGTAAAAGAGATTCACAGGTAAAGAGATTCTTAGGGAAAGAGATTCTCAGGAAAAGAGATCCACAGGAAAAGAGATTGCCAGGAAAAGACATTTCCAGGAAAAGAGATTGCCAGGAAAAGAGATTCCCAGGAAAAGAGATTCTCAGGGAAAGAGATTCTCAGGAAAAGAAATTCCCAGGAAAAGAGATTCACAGGAAACAAAATTGCCAGGAAATGAGATTGCCAGGAAAAGAAATTCCCAGGAGAAGAGATTCCCAGGTAAAAGAGATTGCCAGGAAAAGAGATTCACAATAAAAGAGATTCCCAGGAAAAGAGATCCACAGGAAAAGAGATTCTCAGGAAAAGAGATTCACAATAAAAGAGATTGCCAGGAAAAGACATTTCCAGGAAAAGAGATTCTCAGGAAAAAACTCCAGCAAATGAAGCTGAAGGCCCCAAACTGGAGCTTCAGAGCGAGCCCCGTGCAAAGGGCAGGAATGTGACACAATCAGGGGACAGAGCCGCGGGCTCGGTGCTTGTGCCACACCAGCTGCTCGTTGGTGCAGAACATTCCTCACAAAGACAAATTCCAGCCCTGGGCATGCCGGGGATTGCTGGGAGAGCCCCAGAGGAGGATGAGCAGAGGGAGAGCGCCCAGCTGGCAGCGGGGAGGAGGGCAGGGATCGGGGTGGGATGGATGGGATGGTCCCGGCACGGCTGGGGGGGATAACGAGGCTGATTTTAGGAAAATTAACCCACAAACAGCAGAGGTTTATGTCCAAAAAGGAGACAGAGCAGTCCTGGAACTTTATTTCAATAAAGGGAGAAGCCATGGGGCATTCTCTGGGATCTCTCAGATTTTTGGAGGACGCAGCCTCCTTTTTATCCCAATTTCCCTTCTCTCTTTCCCCATTTCTGAGGTACCTGAGAGGTTCAGATTCCCCAAAACACCTGATATCAAGGATTTCCCTCTAATGCACAACCTTCCCGTTTAATTTTTAATTCTTATGGAATTTAGGGGTTTTTCCCCATTTCTGAGGTACTTGAGAGGTTCACACTTCCCAAAACACCTGATACCAAAGATTCCCCTCTAATGTGCAACCCTCCCTTTTAACTTTTAATTCTTACGGATGGAATTTAGGGGTTTTTCTTCCCCATCGTTTCTTTCATCTCTCAATATCTAATTTCTGTTTATCAGCAAA